AAGAAGAAGAAGAAGAAGAAGAAGAAGAAGAAGAAGAAGAAGAAGAAGAAGAAGAAGAAGAAAGGAAGGAAGGAAGGAAGAAAACAGTTATTGACTGTATTGTGGTGCCATCTTATAGATAGGCATTTGTGTTGGGAACTTTGCATGTAAGTTTAGGGAGGATAATATTTAATGGACAACTGCAATGTAATTGCCTATTCTCCACCCGCCCCCCTTTTGAGGCACTTTGAGGTACAAGAACCTTGGAATGTACTTTATTCTGAGAAAATCACCAGCCTTTTTTTCTTGGATAGTTATTGCTAAATTCCCATAAACCTGCTTTATAGACTGCATGTGGCCACCAGAACTTCTCAGTTCTAAAAAGTAGTAAATGAGCTGTCTTCAAACTCTAGTATGTTATTTGTCATAACTTGAACAACAACATATCTGTCATATTTCCAGAATTGGCTTCCCATCTAAGAATGTCTTACATGCTGATGTCTGAAGCCCTTGATTCATATAAATTGCCTGAAAATGTCTTAGTTAGTTTTCCACACTAGACCATTTTGCCTCAGATCAATGTTTATATTATCCAAGTATATTATATTTTATATACATAGATATACAATGCAGACCCTTCCCAATATAAATCCCATAAGCAATTCTTTGATCTAGATGCATTTACTATTTAGTATAGGTGAAAACAGATTTGCATATTAATGATATGAATATGCTTACTTATTTTTAAGAAATAAATTATGACTAAATATTTGAAAATGAAAGGCATAGAGCACCTTTGGCATTTTCTGGAGTTGACTGATATTTTGATTTTTTTTCAAGACAGGGTTTCTCTGTGTAACAGTCCTAGCTGTCCTGGAACTAGTCCTTATAGACCAGGTTGGCCCCCAATTTACAGAGATCTTTCTGCCTCTGCTTCCCGAGTGCTGGGATTAAAACCAAAGTTTATTGAATGACTTTTAATGAAACTCAATTCAGCAACCAAACAACAATTTTAACTAATCAACCAGTTCATTTATTTATCTTTTAATTTTTATTTATTTGATTTTGAGAGAATGTCTCTTGTAGCTCAGGTGAATCTGAAACTTACTTTGTAGATGAGAATGACCTTGGACTGATTGGCCACGCTTTCTGCCTCCTGAGTGTGGGGCTCATAAGCCTAGGCTACCATACCTGTTTCATGCAGTGCTGGGAATTGAACCAAATTGTGCAGTGCTAGGTAAACACCCTGTCAAATGAGTGACACCCCCAGCACCAAACACCAATTTAAAAAACAGAATATTTGAACATGATAAAATCCAAAGATAGACTAATTTGATGCTGACATGCTGAAAAATGATGGCAAGAGAATATGAACAGTCTTTGTTTTCCATAATTGAGCCACTGTGTTCCTGTAAGAACAGAAAACTGTATATACAGCAAAAATTACAATTCATAATACACAATAGTCTAAAATCTTAGCCAAGAGTCATCGGCAGCATTCATTGAGTTGTGTGTTCAGAACCTAAGATGCTGTGAGGTCACACAGCACATAGGAACAAAC